TATGGGGTTGCTAGGGTAACCGGGGTGGTTGCTAAGGTGTTGCTAGGGTACCCGGGATGGTTGCTAGGGAAACCGTAAGGGAAAAACCCACATTTATTCAGACACCTTGAACATTTCATTCATTAATACAGTTTATTCACTATAGTTTGAATAAATGGTCATAAAATATGACAGAGTCGAAAGTAGTCCTTGTGGCGATCCTCATCCAGCCGAAGCTCCTGAATTAAAGAACGGAACTGTCCCCGCTCATTCCCAGTCTGTAGAATAGGGTGAACCCACAGCCTTCTCCTTTCCAGACGCTTTCGACGCCGTCGCAAAAGACACCGTACAAGCACATCGGAATCCATGTTGTGATAACTGAGGGGAAACCTTGGCGCGTGTTCAGAATTCTAGTGTGACCTCCCCTTGATGCTGCTTCTTTACCCCGTTTCAGTCAAATGAGCAACTCAGAATACAGAGCGCCCCCTAATGATAGCTATAACATGCAAAAAGAACTACTGGGAACTACTGGTTACAATGTCTGGTGTTTTCCTGGTTCGAAGGGCGCTCTGACGGATGGTCTGGGGCGTTTCGTGATCCAGATGAAGCGTTCCCGGTGCGAGATCTGCTGCAGGAGTTTGAGAAGGTTCTGCTGGAGCGCAGCGCTGACTCGGGCTGTGCTGCTGATGAAGACGGCTCCAGCTGCGGCTCAGACGAGTATTTCACAGCCGACTCCTCCAGCTCCTCGTTTAAGTCCACACACAGCACGACGGATCTGAGCCTCAGAGCTCATGTGTTTATAGCAGGGTGAGGCCGAGCACACCTCTCAGACTCATTCATCAAAACGCTTCTTCTGAGCTCCTCTTCTGATTCTTCTGCTTTTGTCGTGGCCAGTAGTTCACCGAGCAAGCTGGACAGTGATGTTCTTGTTGCGCTGAGTGACGTGGAGATCGAGCCGCTCTCGCATCCCAGCATCCTCCGGTGGAAGAACCACATCTTGTCCTATTCTCCATCACAGCGACAGAGGTAGTGCTCTACAAAACTCTTATTCATGGTCTCAAATGTTCTAGCATTGAGGAAATATTTATTACTTGAATTATTATAATTATGTTATTTAACTTTATTAAATTATTATAAATGTATTAATAAGTGTTATTCTTAAATGTAATATTTATTCTTTATTCTACCAATCATATTTTTTTACATTTAATATTAAATTCTTAAAATAAATGGTATTAAATTCATAAACTTTGATTAATACATTTATAATAATTTAATAGTGTTATTCTTAAATTTAACATTTATTCTTTATTCTACCAATCATGTTTTTTA